AAGTGGGGAAAGAGAACTTTAGGTCACAAAGCAGGGGTGTCGAACTCATTTGTTATGGAGAGCCAGATGTGACATAAATTGGACTTTGTTGGGCCGGGCCATGTGTGTCATAAAACATAATGCCAGGTAGTGGAGATAATAAACCTTTATAAAGGACACAAACACACAGATTTTTTTTTTTACTTAAAATAAAAAACTTGCTTGAAACATTAGCACTCTTGCAATAATTTGTTTATTTAACAGTCTCTGATAACGGACACTTCTCGCTCTGAATTATTGCATCAAAACGTCTGTGCTGTAGCAATCTAGGAGGGGGAGGAGCCTCAGCCCAGGGCAGGGAGCAGAAGCTTGCCTATCTATCTCTCCTGAGCGATTGAGAGAGTCTGGGAAAGCAAGCTATGACGCAGCGGCAGAACTGGAGGAAGAAGCAGGAGACAGCCAGTTCAGGGGCCTGATCTGGCCCCCAGGCCGCATGTTTGACACCCCTGTTATAAAGCTTATACATCCTTGTTTTTTTCTCTCCATGTTTCAGCTTTTTAGAAATCTCTAAAAATGGTCAGAGTTTATTTGAGAAGATAGTTTCAGAGGGTAGCCACGTTGGTCCCCAGTAGAAGAGCCAGGTTGGAGTCCAGTCACACCTTGGAGAGTGTGAGCTTTCGCGAGTCTGCGCTCTGCTATCTGACGAAGGGAGCTTTGGCGCTCAACAGCTCAGAGTCCGAAAATCTCGTCCTCCTCTCAGGTGCGACTGGACGTGAATCTAGAATCATTTAAAACGGCCTTCTCTTGCACACATTGCTAGATCCCGATCTGGTGGTGACTGGGTCCCAGCAAAGATCTGTGTCGGCTTGGCAAGGGTGGTGTGCCAGCTAGCCATGTGGAATTTTTAGCCCTTTTCTCCTCTTTGTAGCAGCTGACCTCCCCATACGCTATCACAAATTGTTTTTGAGAACTACCCCAATTTCAGCACTAGTCTGCCATATGGTACGGAGGCCGAGGGGCTGCTGTTGTAGACGTCTGACCCGGAGGCTCACGGAACTAGGCGACTCATTTCCTTGCATCCTGACTGAGTTCTCCACAGGAAGAATTGGAACCATCTGTGCCAGTCTTGTGAATAAATGAACCCCTGTTCCTGAACCAGAGGGGGAGTTCAGGTCACCCACCTTGAATGCTGCGATCTTGTGGCAAAATTAGAGTCATGCCTAGTCCCCCCTCCAAAAAAAAAGAGGGTGTCGGGACAGGGAATGCCCCCTTTTCTACAAAGCACACATTGGAAGCTGCCGTATGCAAAACCAAACCATTGGACCTCCCTTACTCAGAATATCCTACTCTGAACGGCAGCCGCTCTCCCAGTCTCTCCTGTCACCTGCCATGTAAAATCTTTGCACGGAGATCTGGAGACTGAACCGAGAGCGTCACGCACGGCATGCACTTTGCCTCCACACCCTACTCCCGTGCCACAACTGTGTACATTGGGAAGAATTCTGGAAGGGTTTGCACAGGTAAGAGGGGAGGGGGCGTGGCACAGTGGTAGAGCCTCTGCTTTGCACACAGAGGGTCCCTGGTTCGGTCCCCGGCATCTCCTGCTAAAAGGGGCCAGGGAGTGGGTGGTGTGTGAAAGACCTCAACCTGAGACCCTGGAGAGCTGCTGCCGGTCTGAGCAGGCAATACTGACCTTGATGGACCAGTGGTCCGATTCAGTGCAAGGCCACAGAAACAGTGCCTTAAGGAAGTCAAGGAAACCCGATTCATCATCCGGTTCAAGGCAAGTGAGGTTTGACACGCTTCATGCTTCCCCTGTGTCTTTGTCCTGCTTGTGCTGACAGTTTCTCCTGTGTTGCTTCTCTTCTTCTGTGCCCCCCCCTTCAACGTTACCGCACTGTTAGGACGGTGCATTTTTTGTAGCCTGATTGGTTAAATTCAAGCCACTGACTCCCCTCCCCCCCTCCATGCTGTCTGTCTTTGTTGCAGAGTGGGAGCGGTACCTCTTCAGCGGGGCCCTCTGGAGACCAAAATGAGCTGGTGGCCAGGATCGCAAACCTGGAGACGGAGAATCGGAACCTGCGTAGCGGTAAGTGGCGAGAGACCTGCTCGTCAGGGGTGTCGTATTTTCTCTGCCCCGATGCCAACGCTTCCTGACCAGAGAGAACAGAAGCTAATGCATCCTTTCCCGGCCACGTTTTTGTGGCTGATGGTGTGTGTGTGTGTCTGTGGTCTTCTCTTCCGCACCTGCAGTGGTTACGGATCTCCAGCTTGCCATCTCCAGATTGGAAACTCGCCTGGGCGTGCTGGAGAAGGCATCCGTCTATCATCACCCTTCCCAGACACCCCCCACACAGGTAAAGCAAACCCCCAAGTCCCCATTGATCCATCATTTGTAGGTGGGGCAGGCAGGCATCTGTGAAGCCCCCCCCCCCCCAAGGGAAACTGGTTTTTCTTCTGTTAACCCAAGCAGGGGGCAGCCTATGCCCAGGAAGTTTCTGTCGAGCCCCGTGGTTCGGTCTGTGGTCTCGTTCACATCCTTGTTGCTGCCTGAATCTGACCAAAGTCAGCGGGCGGTCCTGGACAGTGCTCCCTCTAAGCTGTGGAGTCTTGTGAGCAAAAATTTTACTTCGTGAGCTCTCGGCATTTAAGTTGTGAGCGAGCGACTTGGCTGCTGCATCAATTAGTTTGCTCCTTCCTGAGCTGAGACAAAAATGAGCCAGAGGCTAAAAAACTGTGGGCTAGCTCACACTAACTCAGCTTAGAGGGAACACTGGTCCTGGAGCTCTCCCCCCCCCCCCCCCCGCGGCCTTCTGATGGCCTCTGCCACGATTCAAATTGGGAACATCGAAATATTTGAGAAGAGAGGCAATACTGATATAACACTTGCAGATTATAACACTTGCAGATTTCATGTCTCCGAGTTCAACACCACCACTTCTTTAACTCCTGTAACTTGCCTTGGAAGGGCAGAAAGGGCAAGATAAAGGTTTTGTAAATAGATAAACAGGCTGGCCCAAGACGTTTTGCGGCCCAAAGCCTGCAGATTGGTTCAGGGCACGATCCGCTGTGGGAGGCTCTCCAATGCAAAAACTGCTGAAATAACTGGAGGCGGCTGAGCCCACGAGCACCTCTTGTTCCTTTCACTTTGCAGGGGCACACTTCCTGTGTTGGGACAAGCTCCCTGAGACAGATCTGCGTGCCTGCTGATGTCAGTGGCCCCTGACCCCTACCCCTCCTTCACACAGCTGCGTTGCTTTGCATTCGGCCTGCCTCTGCTCGTGGGACGTGCCTTCTCGTCCCGCGCGGCAGTTAGGAAGCAGGGTTCTTTTTTTTTTCCACATCAGTCTTCATTGTCTCCTTTTCCCTCCTCAAAGCATGTCACCCCCATGAAGAAAGTTGAGCCATTCCCTGCCCCCTCGAGGAAGGTGGAGCTGCCTGCGGGTTCACTTGCAAGGCAGGCGGAGTCCGCCGCTGCTGAGGATGACGACGACGACGATGATATCGACCTGTTCGGCAGCGACGATGAGGAGGAAGACCAGGAGGCTGCCAGAGTTCGGGGAGAGCGGCTCTTTAAGTCCAAGAAGCCCGGCCTGATTGCCAAGTCCTCCATTCTCCTGGATGTCAAGCCCGTAAGCCCTTCGTACCCGGCTGGGAAACCAGGCCAGGGTTGGGACGGTGGCCGCCACCGCCACTTTTTGCCTCCCAAGGTTTATTCTGAGGGACCGGTGGGTTGAGGGTGGAAAGGGCTGTCAAGCGTGTCCAGAAGAGGGCAACCGGGATGGTGAGACGGTTGGAATCCAAGTCTTACAAGGAAAGGCTGAAAGGGTTGGGTCTGTTTAGCCTGGGAAAGAGAAGGCTTCAAGGGGACAGGATTGCAGTCTTCAAGTATTTGAAGGGCTGTCATGTAGAAGATGGAGCAGATCTATTCTCTCTCGCTCCGGATTGCAAGACCAGATCTAATGGGTGGAAATTACCGGCTAAATATCAGGAGAAACTTCCTAACTGTCAGAGTGGTTGAGCAGTGGAACAGACTGCCTTGGGAGGTGGTGGGTGCTCCTTCGCTGGACGTCTTCAAGGGGAGGCTGGATGACCCTCTTTCGGCTATGTCGTAGGGCTCTCTTTCGGCTGTGCTCCTGCAGAGTGCAGGGGGTTGGACTCGATGACCTGCAAGGTCCCTTCCAGCTCATAACATTCTATGATTCTAAGTGGTGGCTGATTTATGGCAGCCCTGCAGGGTTTTCACGGTGAGAGGTGTTTGGAGGTGATTTGCACTTGCCTGCCTCTGTGTAGCAGCCCTGCACTGATGTGACTTGAGTGTACCTATGCCAGTCCTGCACCAACTCCGTGGGGGTCAGTTTCCTGTCCTGGAACCCTCATGGGAGTCCCTTCCGAGTCTGCTTGCTTTGCGGAAGGTTCTGCTGGTCATGTGTGTGCACAGAGAGACGGAAAGCGCATCTTCCTTCCTGCTGCATCTTCACACCCACTGAGAGCGGAGCAAAGGAGCAAAGCAAGGCCAACCAGGGGTGGGGAGGATTCCTCTTTAAGACAGGAGACTTCAAAGACTGCCTCTTCCTCTTCCTGTCATGTGACCTCTGATTTGCAGCTCGTTGGGTCCCCTGCTGCCACTGTGGTGGCTGAAGTTGGTTCTCTGGTCAGAAGGGTTCCAAAGCATAGCCCAGAAGGATAGCAACACAGTGAGCATCTGGCAAAGTTCACACTGCAAAAATCCCAGTGGAGCTGTGCCACGCTTCCCCACTGCCAGTTGCTGTTGCTCTCTGCCTTTTTTCTTTCTCAGCTCCTGATTGGCACTGGGCCTGCTCCAGGCTGGCTCTTGGCTGCAGGAGGATCCCAAATCTTATTTGTCCACAGCAAACAACGAGATAATCGCTTGTTCAAGGAAAGGTGTGGGCAGAGAGCTGTTGGCATGTAGGCCCCTATGACATCCTCGCTTATTGGAAAGACGGTTTTACCTTTAAACACACTCTGCGCACATGAACTTAGTAGATTTCTGCTGCCACCAGGAATTAAAAATTCCAAATTTCTCTATTTTAGTAGAATGACCCGAAGGTCTGGGCACTTCAGAGGACTATGTGGCCCTGAGGAAGGACTATTCTGATTGCTGGGATAAGTTTAAACAAAAAATAATAATTTATTTAATAGAGAACAAAATAGGTTTCTGGTTATTTTGAACTGTTGCTGAAGAAAGGAACTTGTAAATATAACTGGCAAAGCTTGGCGTCACAAACAGTCTCTCAAACTCCAAAACTCCACTCTGACAGGCTTAGACATTCACACAGAATAGATAGCCACACAGACTATGCTCTCTCTTCAAACTTCTCACACAGAATCACTCTCATAGACACCCCTCCTCCCACCTTCTCAGTCATCAGCCAAGAACATCATACTTATCGCCCTCTATCACTCTCCTTACATTACTGCAGTCACACTAAACATTTAAAGAAACACACATACCAAAACAAGTAATCATTACAGCCCCTTTGTGGAGACTTCCTGCTAGATGAATGGGGAATCTACGATTTCATAAAATTGCTAACTGAAGAGCAGCTTCGCTAACCCACCTGGATAGGAGAAAAGGACATATTTGTTTTCCTGTCTTTATGGGTTTACTTTCTGCTAATCTCCAGAAAGCCTTTTCTTTCCAAGGGCGATCTCGTGCCAGCTTTTGCTGGCTTAGCTCAGCCTCCACGTTTCACTTTACTGCCGGCATTGGTAACCCCTCTCCTTTCCTCTTTGCCCTTTTCAGTGGGATGATGAAACCGACATGGCCAAGATGGAGGAGTGCGTCCGAACCATTCAGATGGACGGTCTGGTCTGGGGAGCCTCCAAACTGGTCCCGGTGGGCTACGGCATCAAGAAGCTCCAGATCCAGTGTGTGGTGGAGGATGACAAGGTTGGGACGGATATACTAGAGGAGGAGATCACCAAATTTGAAGACTATGTAAGTTTCTTCCCCACGAGGGCTGTTTCTGTTGGCAGTCTCGTCCTAGTGAAGAGGAGGTTGAGGGGGGACATGATCTGTTTGGTGTAGTGATGAAGTGCGCAGACTCTAATCTGGGAGAACCGGGTTTGAGTCCCCACTCCTCCACTTGCACCTGCTGATGTGACCTTGGGTCAGTCACAAGCTCTGGCACAGCTGTCCTTGAAAAAGAGCAGTTTGTGTCAGAGTTCTCTCAGCCCCACCCACCTCACAGGGTGTCTGTTGTGGGGAGGGGAAGGAGCTCCTGGCATTAAAGTTGTGAGCGAGCGATTTGCCTGCTGCCTAAATTAGTTTGCTCCGGAGCCCCACCCTTCCTGAGCTCAGACAAAAATGTGTGAGCCGGAGGCTAAAAAACTGTGAGCTAGCTCACACTAACTCAGCTTGTTTGGTGTAGTGGTTAAGTACGCAGTTAAGTTTGGTGTCGTGGTGAAGTGTGCGGACTCTAATCTGGGAGAACCGGGTTTGATTTTCCACTCCTCCACTTGCACCTGCTGGATGACCTTGGGGAAGCCGTAGTTCTGTCAGAGCTGTCCTTGAAAAAGAGCAGTTTCTGTCAGAGCTCTCTCAGCCGCACCTACCTCACAGGGGGTGTCTGTTGTGGGGAAGGGGAGGGAAAGGAGATTGCAAGCCGCTCTGAGACTCCTTTGGGTAGTGAAGGGCCGGGTATGAATCCAATCCTCTTCTTCTTCTTAGAGGGAACACTGGACATGATTGCTCTCTTTAAGTCTTTGAAGGGCTTAGAGGAGGGCAGGGAGCTGTTCCTGTTGGCAGCAGAGGAGAGGACTCTCAGTCATGGGTTTCAATGAAGCTGGATATTAAGGAAAAACTTTTTATTTGACAGTCAGAGTTGTGCCGCAGCGGCTGGACAAACCCTTGTCAGGGATACTCTAGGCTGATCCCACATTGAACAGGGGGCTGGCCTCTATGGCTCCTTCCAACTCTGTGATCCAAGTGCCCAGATCTCAGGCTGCTTGACACGCACAGAGGAATGGGCAAGCCTTAGAAAGATGGATGGATGGTTTTCACTTTCGTGTCAGAGGGTAGCCATGTTGGTCTCCAGTAGAAAGGCTGGATTCAAACCCAGTAGCGCCTTAGAGACCAACAAGATTTTCAGGGTATGGCCCTGACCTGGATAGCCCAGGCAAGCCCGATGTCATCAGATCTCCGGAGCTAAGCAGGGCTGGCCCTGGCAAGTCTTGGAAGGGAGACCCCCAAGGGATACCAGAGCTCAAGAGGCAGGCGGTCAAGCCACCTCTCTGAAAAACATCCAAGCCCCCAGCAGGGGTCGCCAGAGGTCGCCGTGGCTTCCAGGCATACAGGTGCACACACACACATACAATACCTCCCCCCCCCCAAAAAAAATCCAGGTATAAGCTTTCAGGAGTCAACCAGGAGGGCTTTGGAGGCTTCACAGTTTTGCAATATAAGGGGGAAGCCCTGGTTGAAGTTTGAAAACCAACCTACAACAAGTACCGTGCATAGATGATTATAACGTATCATAAATAATTTTATATTTTTTGAAAAATATTTATACAATAATTTCTACATTACATAATAAATCATCTTAATCAAAAATATCAAAAATCATCTCCTAGAATCTCAAAAGCTATCGTACAACCTTTAATAATAGTCCTCCTCTGTTAAATAAAAGTTTCAAAAGGGAGGACTCCTTAAAGTCTCTTTATAACAGGTGCTCGTGTCTTCCTCGTGTTGGTTTTCCTACTTACCGTGGGTCCTTGTTTGGTTTTGTGAATTGCTGGTTGAAGTTTGAGCATCTGCTTGACCAGAAGATAATGTGGGCCGCCAAAATATTTCGCTGGAGCCTGACTTGGGATTTTCAGAAGAGCCTTGCGGGCCTCACTGACCGAGCCTCTCTGTTGTTCTCTTCCAGGTGCAAAGTGTCGACATAGCAGCCTTCAACAAGATATAACAACAAACCTTTACACTTTCTAAAGCTAATAAAAGGTCAAGAGTTGGACAGCAGGGCGAAATGAGAGCCTTTTTCCCCCCCTCCCTTGATCGGTGTGCTTTTGATTTCCTCACGAAAGAGCTGGGCCTGATCAGAGGGGGCACGATTCCTTCACTTCTGCCTGGATGTGGGACTGCCTCTCCTCCCAGAAAGCCTCCGGCCCATGGATGTGACCTCCAAGTTCAAGTCAAGTCCGGCCCATGGATGTGACCTCCAAGTTCAAGTCAAGTCACAGGGCATGTAGTGCAGGTAGCCCCTCTGGACTGGGCCCCCGTATCTGACCTCAAAGAGGAGTCTGAACCCAAGCAACCACCTCCCCTTCAAATCAGCGGATACAGCCCACCTGGTAGAACTACTTGCGTTTAGTTCGTAATGGTTAAGTGCGCAGACTCTAATCTGGGAGAACTGGGTTTGATTCCCCACTCCTCCACTTGCACCTGGCTGGATGGACTTGGGCAAGCCAGAGTTCTGACAAGAGCTGTCCTTGAAAGGGCAGTTCTGGAAAGAACTCTCTCCGCCCGACCTACCTCACAGGCAGTGTTCCCTCTAAGCTGAGTTAGTGTGAGCTAGCTCACAGGTTTTTAGCCTCTGGCTCACACGTTTTTGTCTTAGCTCAGGAAAGATGGCTCCAGAGCAAACTAAATTTTGCAGTAGCCAAATTGCTTGCTTACAACTTTAATGCCACTAGCTCACAAAGTAGAATTGTTGCTCACAAGACTCCACAGCTTAGAGGGAACATTGCTCACAGGGTGTCCATGGTGGGGAGGGGAAGGGAAAGGCGTTTATAAGCCACATAAGTCTCCGACTGAAGGGCAGGGTATAAATCCAATCTCTTCCTCTTCTTCTTGGCTTGGCTAAACCTGACTGCTGTGATAGTGGTGAGAGACCTATGGTTCAGTGGCAGAACATCTGCGTGGCACGCAGGTCTCAGGTTCAGTCCCCGACGTCTCCATTTAAAAGGACCGGGTATTAGGGGATACAAGATACGGAAGAGCTGCTGCCAGTCTGAGTAGACAATACTGTCCTCGATGGCCTGACAGCCTGGTTTAGTATAAGGCAGTTTCGTGTGTGCCCCCTCGGCCGTTCCTCACACTCACTCACTCCCTGTCTGGCGTGTCGTAACTTTGGCAAAAGGGAAGCTTGGGGCTCTTCTGTGCAGAAACGATTTATAATTTTACAAAGGGACGTCTCTGCGCTCCAAAGCTGCAGCTGACGAAAAAACAGCCCCAAGCGCCCCAGATATAGTGCAGAGTCCAACAAGCAGACGGTCGCAGGCCAGAAATCTCTGGCTCTCAAGCCTCCGAGTCAAACGTCAAAGCAGAAGGCAAGCGCCATCAGATCTTTATGTGGTAGGGTTCCCTGCCTGCCCTAAATCATCCATTCATTGTGAACTTTGCTCCCCTTTATCAGCTCAAAAAATCTCTGTTTGGGGTAGAGTCATGTAGCAGAAATTTGGCATTCGTTTGGAAAGGGAAGGAAACTTGGAAACCGCCGTTCCTCACACTCACTCACTCCCTGTCTGGCGTGTTGTAACTTTGGCGAAAGGGAGGCTTGGGGCTCTTCTGTGCAGAAATGATTTAAATTTTTACAAAGGGACGTCTCTGGGCTCCAAAGCTGCAGCTGACGAAAAAACAGCCCTAAGTGCCCCAGATATAGTGCAGAGTCCAACAAGCAGACGGTCGCAGGCCAGAAATCTCTGGCTCTCAAGCCTCCGAGTCAAACGTCAAAGCAGAAGGCAAGCGCCATCAGATCTTTATGTGGTAGGGTTCCCTGCCTGCCCTAAATCATCCATTCATTGTGAACTTTGCTGCCCTTTATCAGCTCAAAGGATCTATGTTTGGGGTAGAGACGTAGCAGAGATTTGGCATTTGGCTGGAAAGGGAAGGAAACGTTCTTGGAAACTGAATTTATTATAAGAATTACTTATAGGAGGAGGATAAAACCATGGGGAGGTCTATATAAGAAGAGTCCTGCTCGATCAGACCAGTGGTCCATCTAGTCCAGCATCCTGTCTCTCACAGTGGCCAGCCAGTTCCTCTGGAGCGCTAAGAAACAGCATACAGAAGAAGGGATTGGATTTATACCCTGCCCTTCACTACCCGAAGGAGTCTCAGAGCGGCTTACAAACTCCTTTCCCTTCCCCTCCCCACAACAGACACCCCCTGTGAGGTAGGTGGGGCTGAGAGAGCTCTTTCCAGAACTGTCCTTGAGAGAACAGCTCTGAGAGAACTTGTGACTGACCCAAGGTCACCCAGCTGGCTGCACATGGAGAGGTGGGGAATCAAACCCGGTTCTTCCAGATTAGAGTCTGCGCACTTAACCAAACTGGCTTCCAGAGTCGCCCGAAGACTCTTGTTGGTCTCTAAGGTGTTAACTGGAGTCAAGTTTAGATGTCCTGCTGTAGACCAACAGGGCTCCCCTCTGAAACAGTCTCTCTCCTGTAGCTAATGCTGCATTAAATTCTGCTGGGGGAAATCTGAAAGGGGAACGTCAATCTGTACATAAAAAGTTGTTTCCTCTGCCTACTGGAGAGAGCTGCATTTGGGCTGAGTTTGGTCTTCTGGTGTGTGGGTGTTCCTACTGGTTACTGGGTGGCCACGAGGACTTCAGTAGCTGCTCAAGTTAAAAAATGTTGCCCTGACCTGGATAGCTGTCAGATCCCCGGTTAAGACACTCTCCACAACACTTTTGGCAGTGATGCCGTATTAGAGATACGCTTACCCTAGGAACTGGATCTTTGTCGGGACTGAGGAAAGCGCGCAAAACTCAGAGGTGATAGGTAAAGCCCAGTGCGCCCCACACCCCAGTTATGTGTCAGCATTTGGCCCCTAGCGTTACTATGACAACCCTGACAGATATACGGTTTATCTATTCTAGCCTAGCAAAAGAGTCTCCAAGGCCAACTCCCATGAGAACAGGCCGAGGGGTGCAACTTGAGAAATGGTTGTGGCCACTACAGGCAAGCACTCAACCCACCACACTCCCCTCAGGAATCTCCCCCCCCCCAATACACGGCAAGGTAAGCCGTGAAGCAAAACAAAGAGAATAGGGTTGCCCAGTGTCTTACCTGGTGCAGCGGGGGAGAGTTGGTCCCCGCCCGGGACATTTGCGCGGGAACCGCGATGATGTTACCCAGAAGCAACGTCATCACGCAGGGCACGTTGCTGGGCGACACTAGCAATCAGCCCGAAAACTCTATGGTACCATAGAGTTTTCAGGCTGATTGCTAGAGCGTCGCCTGGCGATGTGCCCAGAGTGATGACATCACTTCCAGGGGACGTCATCGGCCCGATCTGGGCACTTTGGGGGTGGGGTTCCCTCCCCCACCGGCTGGATCCAGACCAGCGGGTTGGGGGCCCTTTGGGCGGGCAACACCCCCCACCCCACCCCCGGGACACTTGGTAGCCCTAGAAGAGAACCGAAACCTTGACAATAGCCCAGGCAAGCCTAATCTCAGAAGCTAAGCAGGGGCCGACCACGGCAAGTACTCGGAAGGGAGACCTCCAAGGAATACCAGGGCTGTGAGGCAGAGGCAGGTCATATCAAGCCACCTCTCTGAAACATCCTTGCCCCACTAGGGGTTGCCAGAAGTCACGATGACTTCCAGGCCCACAAGTATATACACACACAAAAATGTTGGGGGGAGGGGTAAACGGGGCCCATGTCCGTCCCACCGGCACAGCCATTATGAGATAGTGGCTCATATACTGGAGCACAGCTAGGGGAGCAAGACTGACCTGTGGAGCTCCCGGCGTGGTCTTGGGCCACTCCTCTCTCGGCCTGAATTACATCCCAAGCTTGGGTTTTTTATTAAAAATGGGGGGGGGGGTGAGCTGGCAAACCCCATGGTTGTGCCTGGAGCTCCTTCCAGGAAGAGAGGGAGGAAAATGCCTGCTCACGTCAGAATTTGGAATGTCACCTTTGCGCTTCTCCCACCCCTGATGCTTTTGCTTGTAGCAAGCCCGGAAGGCCCTTTTCGAGCAGACAAGTGCGACCAACAGGACTTTCAGGGTATAAGCTTTTGAGATCCCAAACTCTGTCAGACGTGGAGTGCAAATATCTGAGGTAGGAAGCGTTGACTCAAAAGCTTATGCCCTTAAAACTCCTGTTGGTCTCCAAGGTGCTTACGTTACGGGACTCAGATCTAACTTGTACTGCAGACCAACCCGGCAATCCAGTGGAACCATCTTCGGACAGACAGTGTAGCCGCACAAGGACAAAAGGAGAAATGACGACTGAGGGGTGACATGATTGAGGTTTATACGATTATGCATGGGATACAGCAGGTGGAGAAAGAAGCCCTTTTCTCCCTTTCTCACAATACGAGAACTCGTGGGCACTCCATGAAATTGCTGAGCAGTCGGGTTAGAACGGATAAAAGGAAGTACTTCTTCACCCAAAGAGTGATTAACACATGGAACTCACTGCCACAGGAGGTGGCAGCCGCTGCAAGCATGGATGGCATCAAGAGGAAACTAGATAAGCATATGGAGCAGAGGTCCATCAGTGGCTATAGGCACAAGGTATGGATAGGAACTCTCAGTCTGGGGGAAGGGAGGCTCTGTATTCTTGGTGCTTGGGAGGGCAACAGTGGGAGGGCTTCTAGTGTCCTGGCCCCACTGCTGGAGATGGCACCTGGTATTTTCGGCCACTGTGTGACAGAGTGTTGGACATGATGGGCCACTGCCCTGATCCAAAATTGGCTTCTCTTATGTTCTTATACGGAGCAGAGGTCCATCAGTGGCTATTAGCCACAAGGTATAGACAGGAACTCTCCGTCTGGGGCAAGGGATGCTCTGAATTCTTGGTGCTTGGGGGGGGGCAACAGTGGGAGGGCTTCTAGTGTCCTGGCCCCACTGCTGGACCACTTGATGGCCCCTGGTAGTTTTGGCCACTCTGTGACAGAGTGTTGGACTGGATTGGGCATTGGCCTGATCCAGCATTGGCTTCTCTTATGTTCTTATGAGAAGCCTTGGGGAAGACTCAGCCATCTTTTGGTCTCTGGGAGGAGCGGGCAGTGCACGTCTTTGCCCCTGGCATTCAGTGACTGCGTTGGCTAAGAGACTACCTTGCGGCTGCCGTGCCCAGTCTCCCCTGAATAGAGGTAATGATGCCTGGCTCCCAGGGAAACAGTCGGCACATCACAGCAACAAATGCTTCAGGGACTGCCATGACACAGCTGCCGAAAGTGGTGCTGGGTGTTCAGTAGACTGGCCAGCAGGGCGAACAGAACGAAGCGGGCACACTGGGCTAGGTTTTGGGGTTCCAAAGTCAGCTGTCGGAGTGCTTTCACTGTAAACAGGTGCTCTGAGATCACCTTCCCTCTTATTTCCTTGACATTCGAGAGAGTAGCAATTAAAATATGATCGTGCTGTGCTTTATTCTGTATTGAATAGGGTGAGCGGGCACTCCGGTGTAAAGCTCAGGGCCGGTGGTGGCGTAGCACTCCCGCCCTGTGCAACAGGTGTGTTTTGGGGGCCTCTCCCCTAGTGGGTGGATCTCCTGCTTCTGCGGCAGGTGGGGAAGGCCAGGTGGTTTCTCTTGTCCCAGCTTCATAGGTGTATTTGAGTTCCGTGGGAGACTGCGACTTCATTGTAACCCAGTTGAAAACAATGGGCAGGGGAGTGCAGTCAGTAGCCCTGACAACTGTGAGAGAAAAGGGCGCAGGACCTTTCAAAGCGAGACACACACCCCTCAGTCCAAAATGGCGGGACCCTTCTTCCAACTCTGTTCTCTGCAAAAAAACCCCCCCCCATCTGAATATATCCCGCCCTCCACAGGGAGAGACATTTTGCTCAGGTTTAATGCCTCCGCTGACCTGGGCAGGTTGCCCTGAGGGGTAGCTAAATTTAACCTGTCAAAATAGCAGATGCCAAAGTGGTTTTTTTTCCTTGCTGCTTTAAGCATCAGGACGTGGAATGGTGGAACAGCCTGATCGTGGAAGCTAAGTGTCAGACTCCTGCAGCAATCAGTTCCCAACAGCTTTCATTCAAAGAAGTAAAGTTTATTGAGACATTGAAAGTATGCAGCTATTAATGCTTTCGTGTCAGAACGGACTCCCAAGTGCATGAAACAGACAGATATACAATATTCAAGAGGGCCAATCAGAGATCAGGTAAAGACCCACCAAAGTAACAGGCCATAAGTCTCAGGAGAAAGACAACACCAGGCACTCAAGGTTAAAAGCTTTGGTTACACACCGAAGACACAGTGGAAACGAAAGTCAAAATTCCAGGGTCACCTCTCCTCACTCCCACGGCAGCTAGGGGTCCAGCTGACACGAAGTGGGGTCGGCACCATGGAAGAAGGGCCTAGCAAACGACCTCTTCTTAATCACCCGCTTTGAAAACCTCATGAGGGCTCGGCCCTAAGTCGGTGGTGACTTGAGGGCACTGCACACATAAATATAGGTCCATGCACTTTGTGGAAGGCCAGATAATGAAACTGAAGCTCAAATACTTTGGCCACCCAATGAGAAGGGAGCACTCCCTGGAGAAGACCCTGATGCTGGGAAAGATTGAAGGTCAAAGAAGACGGGGACGGCAAAGGATGAGATGGTTAGACAGTGTCATCGATGCAACGAACATGAAATTGAGCCAGCTTCAGAGGACGGCGGAAGACAGGAAGGCCTGGTAAAACCAGAAACACACACACAAAAAACCAGCGGGGGGGAGGGTAGCGCGGTCACGGCGGATTGCTGTCCAGATACCAAAACCGCGGATACAAAGCGCGAGATGTCAGAAAACACCTGTTCTAACAGGTGTCAAAAAACCGCGGATAAAAGTTCAGAAACCGCGGGAGTCTGCCGGCTTCGGACCGGGAAGCGGGTTTGCCTATGTAGACAGGAAACTTTACTGCGGGAGAAATCAGCTGCGAGTCTGGGAAATAATGTAGACAGGAAACTTTACTGCGGGAGAAATCAGCTGCGAGTCCCGCACTAAACATCCGTGTGACCACGACCGAAGTGTCAAGACTCCAGCAGCAATCAGTTCCCAACAGCTTTCATTCAAAGAAGTAAAGTTTATTGAGACATTGACAGTATGCAGCTATTAATGCTTTCATGTCAGAACTGACTCCCAAGTGCATGAACCAGACAGATATACAATATTCAAGGGGGGGTCCCCTGGTGGCCCAGGGCCAATCAGAGATCGGGTAAAGACCCACCAAAGTAACAGGCCATAAGTCTCAGGAGAAAGACAACACCAGGCACTCAAGGTTAAAAGCTTTGGTTACATAGATAAGCAAGGCACCCCAGCGGAAAGTCAAAATTCCAGGGTCCGCTCTCCTCACTCCCACAGCAGCTAGGGGTCCAGCTGACACTTAGTGGGGTCGGCACCATGGAAGAAGGGCCTAGCAAAGGACCTCTTCTTAATCACCCGCTTTGAAAACCTCATGAGGGCTCGGCCCTAAGTCCGTCGTGACTTGACGGCACCGCCACACAAATACAGGTCCATGCACTTTGTGGGGGGAGGGAAGGGGGCGCGTCACGGCCTCATTTTGGAAACTATGCAGGGCCTGTATTTGGACGGGAGCCCACCAGTGTTCCCTCTAAGCTGAGTGAGTGTGAGCTAGCTCACCGTTTTAGCCCCCGGCTCACACCTTTTTGCCTTCGCTCAGGAAGGAGGGCTCCAGAGCAACCTCATTGACGCAGTAGCCAAATCGCCTGCTCACAACTTTAATGCTGGTAGCTCACAAAGTAGAATGTTTGCTCACAGGACTTCACAGCTTAGAGGGAGCACTGGAGCCCACCAAGGAAGGCTCTGCAGAGGAAGGCAACGGCCAGCCGCCTCTGCTTCTGGGGTCGCCATCAGTCGGCTGCAGGGCCGGATTTAGACTTGCTGAGGCCCTAAGCTATACAAAACCCAGAGGCCCCCTACTGTTTTAAATTACATCAGCTGGTCTCAGAAAAATTTAAAATATATACGCCTTTTTAATATTTGAAATCATTTTTTATATTGTGTTTTTATTCGAGGCCCCAGCAGATTGCGAGGCCCTAAGCTGTAGTTTATTTAGCTTATGTGTAAATCCGGCACTGGTCGGCTGCAACTCGACGGCGCGCACGCATCAGCATCCGGAGCTCCCGGGAGCAGCAGCCGGCCGTCGAGGGCGCCCTCGCTCCAGCTGCGCTTTACGCGCCCCGAGGAGAGGCGCGTTACCAAAAGCGCTCCGCTTCGGTCGGGGGCCAAGGCGATCCGCGGAGCCTCCGTGTTCTTCTGCGGCAGTCTACCGCTCTGCATCGCAGGCGCCTAGCAGCCTGGCGGACTCTCCGCGGGGCCCTGCGCGCCCTTCGATCCCCGGCGCCGTGCCAGCAGCCAGCCGAGCCTGGCCAAGAGGCGGTGCCAGCGCCGGGGAAGCGCTGGGTCGGCCGCCCGGAAGGGGGCGTGGAGCCTCCGGAGCCCGCCCACCCTCTTCTTATGTGCAAAATTTCCCCTGGCACAGCGAGTCGAAGCAGACAGGGATGGGGCCGCCGGTGGTGGGGCGCTTGTGGGGCTCGCTGGCGCTGCTGACCAAGCCGGCTGAGTTCAAGCTCTTCTTCCACCGCTGCCCCTTCCAGGGTGGCTTCACCCTCGCCGCTGGCCTGAGTGAGTGCCTGGCCTTCTTGCGTACCTTCCGCTTCTCCAAGGCAGGTAAGTGGCAGCATGGGGAGAGGAAAGGTGCTCTGCATGTGCGCAGAGGCTAGTTCGCCCTGGTGTGACTGTGTTGGGGGAGAATGTGGCCCAGGAGGGTCGGGGGGAGGGGTTTTTGGAGGCCCAGGTCAACTCCCCTGCTCCCAGCAGGCAGGTCCCTGTGGAGGGAGGGAGGGAGGGAGGCTCACCCCTGCCTGGCCCGCCCAGCACCATTGGCGGCGCCCACTGCCAATACCTGCCACCGCTGGGCCGCTTTCTGGCCAGGGACCACGGGA